TGTTTAATGAATTTTGCGAGGTAATGCAATACTTTTGTGTGGGAACGCAAAAAGAAAAAAAAAAACCCATGTCACCTCGCGGGCTCCGTATCACACAGTGTCTTAAAAACACATTTTTAGAACAAAGTGTCTCTTCTTCATTTAGCCTACAGCCCCTCTAACTGGATCAAAAAAAATGTACAGCATACTATACTGTTGTAACATTTTTAAATAGCAAGCTCTGAACTTTATTTAGATACTTTACAACTGAGAAAGTTCTGATAATTATGTCCTTCTTGGGTTATAAAAACAAAAGTATATTTATGGACTTTCAGATTATTTTTCTTTCATGAGTTTTGTTTTTTCCCCAATTTGACAACATTTTTAAAGCCCGCAGAGCTGTTCTTGCTTATATGGTTCAAGTAAGCATCAGAAAGTGTCGGCAGTTTGAGAGAGAAAGAAAGGAGACACACTTACTTTGGCATCCTAAAACAAGGCTCAGCACAAAAATAAAGAGAGGTGTTTTAATCAGAGAAGTGAGGCAAAAATCAGTCTAAAAACAGCACATTTCTACAGAGAGACTGCTGTAACGTTTCATTTTAAATGTAAAAAGCTCAACCCAGACACCAAGGACAGATGTGTAACTGAGGAGCATAATAAGTGTCTTGAAATAACTGTCAAATTTTAACAGAGCATTTCATCTGAAAAGCAACAGAGCCTTAAAAACATTCAGTTTGTTTCGAACACATGAGCAAATCTGAGCAGAAACATCATTTTAATGAACGTTAACCATAAAACTGGAAAAAATGTCACATTTTAAAGAAAACCCTACAAAAACTCAGAGACAGAAAGGTTAAAAAAAGGAAGACACCAGTGTGCTTAATGTTCAATAACTCATTAATGATTTATTTATTTTAAAATGTGATAATAAATTATTAATTTTATTATAATGATTAAACGGGACAAATTATCTCAATAGGACATACACGAATAATCCCATCAAAATGAATCAAATATAAGTTTTTGTAAAAAAAAAAAATCAATCTGCATTTATTTATAAGAGATACATCATTTGCAGGCTAATTTACTGGCATGATTTAAAGCAAAAAWGTTGCTTCTCTAATCTGTGCAAAATGCAAAATCTTTTAGCATAATGTTTCTTAAACCACTTACCTCCCAGGTGTGCTTCTTCTACATTTAATCAGAAAATAGTTTACTTTCCCATAGAAAATCATTAATAGACTGAAGTCAGAGACTGAATAATCTAATAAATCCTTTACTATAGCTACATTCTGAGCATATTTGTTTTAATATATATAACCTTTGACACTGTAGACATCACAGAAAGAGGAGTTTAACACACGATGCAAACAAAAATCAACAAAAGCAGTGAAAGAACAAAAACACAAAACTTTTTTAGCCTTCACTAAGCTCTCATGTTCAAAATAATGTGAAATCTAATAAAAACACAACCTGTGAGAACCAAAAACATAATGCAGTTATGGACAAACTAGATTTAAGGGATATTTGACCATTTTGAAGTGCTTTTAAAAGGTTATGAAGAATTAAAGTCTGAATAGTTGTGGCTAAAAAACAGAGCCCATTTTGACCAGATGTTAGCTCGTTGGTGTTATCAAGGTAAAATTATTTCTCTAAACTGAGGCTGTTTAAAGAGTTATTTAAAAGAAAGTTGGGATGTTGTGTAAAATGTAAATAAATAAGGAATGCAATTATTTACGAACTGTATAAAGCCTTTTTTTCACCATGGAAAAGAGTCAACCCACTTCTTCCTTTCAGGGTCACGGGGGTTGCTGGTGCTCATGTTCAACTGTCTCTGTACGAGCTGTGGGGGACAACCTGGACTGGTTACAAATCCATGGGGACACAGAGACAAATTCAATCTCGCCTACTTATAGCTCCCCAGCTTGGCACCTACACATGAAAGTTTTGTCTGCTACCCTGAAAATATATAACACAGACTCACCAATATATCATTAGCCTCATAGCATTAAATGCCTACGTCATTTGTGACCAAATATGTCTTGGGCAATTATACTATGAGGCTAACAATATATTAGGATTCAAGTTATACTAAATAATTAATCTACATTTGGTCACTGCTAAAATATCAGGTGCAACAGGTTACCCGGTACCTCATTTTTTTAAAAGATGAGTCAGTGTTAAAAAATTTTCATCGGAGATAAAAGGGTACAGCTTCCTTGCGCCTTTGGGTCGGAGGCACTGGCTCTAACTGTTGTTTGCACCTGTGAACTAAATAGTGGTTCAAATTACYCAGCCTTCGGTTCTGGAAGGTGCTCCAGCTGGGGACTCCATCTGTCTGCTGGGGAATTTCAATGCATACAGTATGTTGGTAATGACAGTGTTAACTGGAAAAGTGTGATTGGGAGGAATGACCTCTGACYTGAAGCAGAGCTGTAAACTTGGTAGTCTTGTCATCTGATCTGCAGCTGTATGTTTTGGACTCTTGGGTCAAGACAGGAAGCTGAGAAGTCAACTGATCACCACCTGGTGGCAAGTTGAATCAGGAAACGTGGTAAGATGTCGCATAGACCCAGTAGACCCCAAAACTTTGTGAGGGTTTGCTGGGAAYGGCTGGCAGAAGAACCAGTCAGAATAATCTTCAACTCCTACCTCAGACAGAGAAACAACATCACAGCAGACGGAGGGRTCAATGACTCTGAGTGGGCCAAGTGAGCTGTGTCCACAAGTTTGTCAGTGCTTCTTGTGGCGAAGCCTAAGGTAGACACCCTGGGTAAGAGATGCTGTCAAATACAAGGATGAGTCCTACTGGGTCTTKTTAGCTGGTAGGGCTCCAGTAGAGGCTGAGGGGTGTTGGTGAGCCAGTCAGGCTACAGCCCTGGCTGTTGCTGAGGCAAAGGTTTGGATGTGGGAGGAGTTTTCAGTTTTTCTTTGTTTCTAAGTTGGCGCCATGGCAGGCTGCCTGTTCCTGCAACTCCCCTGTTTTGGGCTACTGTAATGTTCAAATTTCCCCACTGTGGGATCAATAAAGTTCTATCTTATCTTATCTTATCTTATCTTATCTTATCTTATCTTATCTTATCTGAGGCCTTAGATCAAGATTATTTATGATCTTCAATAAGATTCTGGCAAAGAGTCAGGTGGCTGAGGTAGGAAAGCAGCACTTAACCAACATTGTATGGGGTGCTGTTAACCTCAACATGTCATCAATGATGACACTTTGAAGACCTTATTAATCCACYAGCATGTCTTCTACGCAGGAAGAGGACTTTGGGTTTGGTCTACCTTCACTAGGGACCTCGAAGGGGCATGGACGTTAGCCCAACTTGTCAACATGTTGTTTGTGGATTTGCAGAAGGCATTCGATTGTGCTCCTCAAGGTATACTGTAGGAGGTGCTTTGTGAGTATGGGATGGGGGTCTGTTACAGGCTGTACAGTCTTCCACGACCAGACTTCAAAACAAGTGAAAGGTAATGGATAGATGGAAAAATGTGGTTAAACTAAAATCATTAATTATTTTTGGAAACCATGGATGCCAGTTTCTCTGTACTAGAGGACCATCGAGCCTGTTTTCAGTGCATAGTTCAAAAGTATGCCTCTCTTATGGYATGRGGGTGAATTAGTTCGTATGGSGTAGGAAGCTTATGCATATGGAAAGGCACAATAAATGCATTAAAGTATATACAGGTTTTAGAAGAGCATATGCTCCCATCCAGATGATATGTTTTCAGGGAAGGCCTTGGATATTTTTGTAAGATACACAAACTGCATCCTTTACAGTATGACTTTCTTAGTCCAAGTGCTGAACTGGCCTGCCTACAGTCTAGGGATGTCCCGATCAGATACTCAGTATCAGTATCGGTGGCAGATATGGCCATTAGTTGAAAATCGGGTAGAATCGGATTTAGTCATGTGATCGGGCCGATCCAGTTTTCGTGACAGTTTTCAGTATCATCATGCTTTACAACTGCCGTTAAGAAGTCAAGACGCATACAAGTACGCAACCATGTCCACAGTGTGGGAACACTTTTCAGTGGAAAACAATGATGCTGAAACTGCATCTTGTAAAATCTGCAAACTGGATGTTTCTCGTGGTGGGAACAGCAGGGCTCCTTTAGTTACCAACCTTTTGTCACTTGGAAAGAAATAAAGAAATAAAGCTATCGAAATTGTATCGGATCGGTATCGGAAAGACTAATCATTAAAAAAATTGGATTGTATCAGGAGCCAAAAAATCTGGTTCGGGACATCCCTACTACAGTCCAGACTTCTCACCAGTTAAAAACATTTAACGTATCGTGAAATAAAAAATCCAGTAAAGACGACCCAGGACTGTTTGAACAGCTAGAATCCTAAAACAGACTAGAATGGGACAACATTCCTTATACAATCTCCAACAAATGGTCAACTCAGTTTCTTCAGACTGTTGTTAAAAGAATCTAAGCTTGAGAGGGGTAAACTTTGCCCTGTTTAGTTATTTTTTAAGATGTTTTGCTGCCATACAATTAAAAATTACCTGATTAGAAATGCAAATTTTTGCTTAAATATTTGACATTTTTACTATATTTTATTGTGAATAAAATGCAGTTTATAAAACTTGCAGGTCATTGCATTCTATTTTATTTACATTTTACATAACGTCCCAACGTTTTTTGGAATTGTGTTTGCACAACAGGAAAAAATGATCATTTTCACACCACTTAAAAAAGGCCAAACTATTCCATCTAATAAGTCTGGAGTCTGTGTTTAAGTAACCTAGGAATTTGCATGATTATATTAAGTGACTGATTATTTTAGGTACTTTTGTTTAAATTATTTAAATCTAGATTACTCAGATATGGAAAGTGTGCTGAATACTTAAACACAGAGGCTCTTGTTTATCGGTGCAACCATCCCTGCAACAGGGGGCAGACTTTCCCTACACAGAGAGAGGCAGGTACACACACAAAAAAAGAAACATCCATCACGAATAAATAACACAGGTCTTATTTGCCGTAGGTTAAAACCAGAAGCTTTAATTTGTGTGTCATCCTGATCCAAGAGTGTTTTCTGAAGCCAAAGACAAACTGTCGAGTGTTTAATCACAAACTTTAAATTTGGAGCACAGTGTGAATCCTGATGACACACAACACAAATCTTCTACCCATAAACATAAAAATAGATGCTCAGGAATTCACACAAAAAATAAAATAAATAAAAATCCAGTGGAACTGACAGTCATGTTACAAAACGTTGATGAAAATCATGATAGTGATCTTTATACTGGCTCTAATAAGAAAAAAGCAGCCTTAATGATAAAATTTAGTTTAATTTGAAGCTGTTTTCTTTAAAAAGACTGTACCATGACTGTCACTTTGAACAAACTGAGTGTATTGTTACACCCCCAAACCAATGACAATGTCAGGTGYTCAGAGCAGAAAGAAAGGTGCCAGGCACTGAGTAGCTCAGCATGCAGGGTGGATAGCAGCAGCAGCAGCAGCAGGAGCAGCGATGGCAGCCAGTCAGTACACAGGCACATTAAAGTACTCATGACGGGGCTGAGGGAGAGAAATGCACACAGCTTAGAAAATAAGACTACACAGAGTCATAAACATTCAACTGCAGGACATGCAGGACACGGAGCAGGCAAAAGGCATCACTTAAGACAAACTCCTTTGTTCCCCTCACACAGAGTCAGAGCGGTCAGAAAGAGACAAAATTCATCAAAATCCCTACATTGATAAACTGAACTAAATTGCACTTGGTTTTATCAATGAGTTCAAATATTAAAACTAATTAAATCCATCTATAAAACAGTGCTAATAGCTACAACAGCATATCAGGGTCACAGAAATAAACWAAATGGAGGATGAAGAATTTTTTTTTCAAGTTTAGAAAATAAAGTTGAAATGTTGAGGGGGAAAAAAGGTAAAAAATAGTGTTTCAAGACTAAGTTTAAGCTGAACCCTACACTATTTGGGCAATTTCTTTTTTACTATAATTTTAGCTTGCGCCGGTGCACTTTTACTGATAAAATTCCAAAATAACAACACAAAGCATTTCCCTGAAGCACTTTGAGGAGCAGTTTCCTACAGCAGCTGCAGCAGAACTCACAAAACCTCATTATAATTTCACAAGAGTCTGAAACTCAACGTTGACTTCAAACACTCTTAAAGTTAAAAAAGTATATGTGATTATTCTCTTGTTCTTAAGTAAAAACATTTAAAGCATCCTAGACCCCGAGTTCCACTTCATCTGAGGCTACAGCCCACAATGTCTAGGGGGTAAAAAATAATTAAATAATACTAAATGTTCCAAATCTGTCTATTTTAATAGACAAAGTGTACTCCAGCAGATTACATCAGAAATGTGTAGACAGCTGCCAAGTTGGGTACAAAGTGTGCAGAAAAATGTTAACAAAGAAAAAGGCAGTTTTGCATTCAGTGCACATAAAAAATAGAATTTTTTTTAAATTAGCTGTGCAAAATACAACTGCACTGCTAACTGGTCAATTGGTCCCAAATACTCTGCAAGGAAAAAACACTGACTTACCGTTTTTACCATATTTTTAATCATTTTATTTTTGTTTGTTTTTATGTTTATTTTATCTTTTTACCATTCTTTGTTTTGTGTGCAGCCATTGTGTCTATTGTTTTTGAATGTGCTAAATCAATTTCGCTTTTATTTTTTCACAAATGGAGTTTAAACGTAAATTCAACTTGGAACACTGGTGACCTCACCTGCTCCTGCGGACCTCGTCATCTCAAGCTCAGCTCTGTCCAATCATCGCAAACCCAGCTACGTCCAATCAGCTCCTGTCTGCCAGTAAATAAAAGCCAGCCACCTCCATCACACAGTCTGCGTGTCAGCTGACCGTCAGCCTGCCACCACCCCTCCTCCACCCTTCATTTTCTGGAGAGGGTGCATCTTGACGGGTTCTTCCACGTTCGGCCGTGTCTCTTCCCGTCCCTCAACCCAGCCGGTCAAGGCAGATGGCCACCTGTCCTCAGCCTGGTTCTGCTGGAGGTTTCTTCCTGATAACAGGGAGTTTTTCCTCTCCACCGTTTGCTCAGGATGGGAGTCTGTGATGAAGTCATTCAACACAAACTGCTGGCTTCTTCTTTAGATTGTTCTTTTCATGACCACCACCACCAATGTCAGGCCCCAGGGGGATTAAATCTCCTACCCCTAACTTAAAGCATCTTGTATGAGCTTACAGCTTCACTCAGCACTCTTGTCCTATGCCGGGGTCCGAGCGCCAAACTCTAATGCCATTTATGTCATAACTTTGTTGATCCGGTCATGTCAATAAACCTCCTAAATTTCATTCTGCCTTGTGTGAGTCTTTCCAGGCTGAATTCTGAGTTACCAACTAGGCTCCAACAGTCACACTTCAGTTTTAAGTGTTTGAGACTCTTATTGTGAAAGAGTTCTACTTGTTGTTTCTGTTGCTACGAGAGTAATAAAGACAGAAAGCTTGACTAGTTCAGAGAAAATACTTTGTGTTGTTATCATTTTGTAGTTTAACGTAAAAGCTCACCTATAACACTTAGTTGCAATATTATTAATGTAAAATTAAACTAATACAGTTAGTGGGTTTTCCTTGATCAGGTTTAGTCCTGAAACTCTATTCTAACTACAATACCTACATTTTCACTCCAATCTTAAAACTTAGAGGCAAAAAATGTTATTTGCACATTTTCCTTCTAAGCATCTTCTTATAAGCCTTCATAAATAAATGTCACATAAATAAATAAAAAAAACATGTAACCAACAACGTAAGTGTGTCTAAACAGTGAAAAGATCACTACGGGTAGAGACTGGGAATAAGATCAGAAAAACAATCTGAACAAGCAGGAACTGTAACTGTACACAGTTAAATATCAACATACAGTAAACTACAGGACTCTAGTGGTACAGACAGTCTATAGCTTCACAGACACAACGTATTCACCTTAGCCGACCTAACTCTGGAAAAGACCAGAGGATTCTGATGTCATATTTGGGATCATCACACCTGTGAGGCAAAGATTTTCATCAGGTAAAGACAAATGATCCACTAGCTCTGCAATTAAACTGACCTAGAATACTAAAGTTGTAGAGAATATGCTCGGGGAATAGGAGGATAACTGCACCACTTCAACAGCTATGTCCTGGTCATCAGGACGTCTCTGCTCAATTTATCTCTGATGTCTCCCATGCTGATGTGATCTGAGATTCAAACCTTCAGAGGCTCCATTATTCTAAAAGAAGAGTAAGTATACAGAGTACCAGTCAGCTCGAGAGAAAAAAAAATCATTAAAGGCTTATCAAAATCACCTCCACTAAATCTGCTGTGGTATGTTTTCCATATAACTTGTGCACTTTGCACTTTCTGAACTCAATGAACTTGAGGCATCAGTTTCACCGTGCAGCACTTGGCCTCCGTTTCAATCCGTTTCTGGATTTTGTTTATCCTGTACAATTCCAACACTGTTGTGCTTCAAAAGGTTCCAGCTGTGTAACCTGATTACTGAACTGCTCATTGGAGCACATTGTAAGCTAACTCGTTCCCTCCTGTGTCACTTGCAGGAATTCCAACACCACAGGAAATGTTTGAAAATTTTGATTTGATTGCTGTTCTGATGATAAAATAATCACAATAAGAAAAGGCAGCACATAGCATTTTCCCTTTCATTTAGTCCATAAAGTTATTGGTTTATTTAACCAAGAAAAAAATAGATATCCAGGTACTACTGGTGCAGTCAGATCCAGTGCCTGAACCACGAGGAAGAACTGTTCAAGTTAGTGAGGAACTTTAACTTTTCCTTTTCAGGATCATAATACCGTATTACGGTATCATGGCAACTTATGATGGAAAGATTAGTTGCTTCAGAAGAGGTGACTGGTCTAGTCAATTAAAAAATAAAAAGCATGCCCATCTGTATCCTCACTGGCCAAGAAGTGGTCCAGCAACAGTCCTGCACAGCCTGAGTGAGGGTGTGGAGTTACAGGCTCACTTACATTGGTGCAGTATTATCTGAAAGGACAGGTGGCAGTACACTACATAACCAGTGGAAATGTAGTACTGCAGTATTGTAGTAAAGTAGCAGTGTATTGTAACTTGGCACATGGACCAAGTTACAAAAATTGGAAGGTGCACAGCCATACGCCATGACATTGTGTGGGGCTAACATGCAGGGGTGGTGTAGTGGTCATTGCAAATTACTCTTACAGTGGGGACGGCGTAATTGTGTCACTGTTGGCGCACACCCTTGCACCATGTTCAATTAGTCAAGTATAAACCAAGCTTTAGGCAGGTCTGTTAAGTCAAATCACACCTAAGGCTGTTGGCTGTATGTAATGCTGGTTTGCTGAGGCAATTTACCAAGATTGACTGTTTTTATTCATAAAAATGTTTAGACACTTAAACAAGCCAGGCTTTAAAGAGATACACTGTATTTATACCGTGTATTAGTGCCAGGACAAACAGTGAGACCTTTGTCATTGCCTTTACTCTCAAAGGCCCCCTTCACAATAGATAATGACCCTGCTACGATGGAAAAACTCAGCTAGAATGTGAATGATCTTTGCAGGGTGTTGGTGAGGGCTTCGGTTCATATTAAAAACACAATGGACTCCACTTAATATTAAAGGTCATGGAAGGTTTTGAGCATGCACTAAGCTTTTGTATTGAGGTTGTGATGGCTGCGTATTGAGGGTACTGGAGGGAGTGTGGTATAAATGTAACGGTGACGAGAGGCTCATACCCACTGGTGTACACTGGTCATCATGAATTTAAGGGTAAAACTCTCAGCCAGCCCACCACACTGCACAACTACAGCAAGTATGGTAAGTTATTGCAACACTATTGGTGGCTCAGCCTCTATGCAACAATAAAAACAAATAGCTGTCCAATATTTGTCTTATTGATGCAAAGGAAGAAGCACATGTTCTCATCATAGTCAGGCCTGATGAATTTGGATGATGTGGTGCTGCTGGTGAAGGCACATATGCAGTAAGAATAAGCTATTAGGCAAGTATAGAGAAACAGTCTGTAGAGGGAATTAGAGAAAGTAGCAGCTTCATGATAGTCTTCACACTATAGTAATTTTTTTCTAAACTGGGCGGCTGTGGTGGAGTGGTTAGGGGAGTCGATCTGGAACCAGAAGGTGGCTAAATCGCTGATTCGCTCATTCCGCTGTCAATCAAATAGGGATTCAGGCTCAGACAGATCATCCAATCATCATACAGAAGCTGAGCGTCCGAGCCAGCCCACTGCTCCATAGACCCCCAGAGACGCTCAGCATCCGACGGGCGGGACAAAGCCAGCATTTAGCCAATGACTCGTCTCGTTTTGCTGCATTTTTTTGCCTTGCTATTGAAGTCTGTGGAAGCTGAGTGTCCGCACTGTTTAAAGCACTGTGACGCTGTGAGAATGAGGGAGAGGAATGCTGTGTCGTTACCAGTGATAAGAAGCTGATTCTGAACAAAAGTTGAGCGCGTTGTAGCGCATATTTAGTCAATGACGTACTCACATTAGTATATATTTAATCACTTTTTTTTTTTTACATTTTAGGGGAAGCTGAGCTTCCCTTGCAGTCTTAGAGCAATCACCTCTGGGGGATATAGCATTAACTATGTATAAACTAATGCCACGTATTTATTAGTAGGTTATTAGAAGTTCCAGAGGTAATTGCCTTAGTGATCATCATTTCATCATCATCATTTACTTAGTAATGCTTTACAATGCTAATAAAATGGCGCCATCCATAATTTATAAAAACTAAACAGCTTGCAGTATTTTTACCCTCTATGTTTTACAGTTGAAGTTAATATTTATCAAATAATGTTTAATGTAATTGGGGATCCCTTTATTAAGTATTATTGTTCAGAAATCAATAATCTGTCATTTCATTCAGTGCTGTTAATATAAGCTTAGACCAGTCTCTACACAGGCAGCATGGTCCTTCCAATTAGTATTTAAAGAAAAATTAATCTATTGTATTATACTATATTAAAAAGAACTAACAAATGATTTTCTTCTTTCCATTTTAAATAATGTAAAGTTTTAAATTGCCAACAGTTCAGGCAAACCTGATAATTGTTGGATTAATGTGCCTGTAAACGAGACTGTTTAGCGAGAAAAACTTGAAACATTCAAATTTGAGTCCATGCCTGCAATTACCCATACGGTGCATAATATATGTTTCACTCAAAGTCATGAGGGCAGTCAGTCTGACAGAAAAACATGCAGATAGAAGCTGGAAACCCATGCTGTCTGAGTGCACCAGGCAGGTAGTTACCAATTGTCTGGACAGAAGAAGAGATAAACTTTTACAAGATCTCCTCATTTGGTAAACTTCCCCAGTCTTCACTCTGGCTCTACAAATACAGAATTGAGCCAATCAGAGACCTATTTTCTCTCTTCCACTCAGGGTAAACTTGGATCACTTTGCCTCTTTTCATGTCAGATAACATCAAAATTATCCACTTTAAAAAAGCTCACAAAGAACCTACCACCGGCCTTTTCGGGTCACTGCAGTCTTAGATGGTGACATATTGAGCTCAAGCTATGCCAAATCTAAGAAGCCTTTCCCAGTGTTTCTTTTTTTGACACCTTATGTAAACTGTCCCCAGTGCTGGCTGTTCTTTCCAAATAATATCACTTTTCTTTGTCGAATGATAATGGGCTGTCAGCAGTGGCCTGATTTCCTTTCCGAGAACTCATTAGCTCTGTCCTTTTGGAGCACTATCTGACTAAATGTTGAGCAAACAAAAGAAGCAAAGCATCAGCTTGACTAATCAAATCTAATGTATTATGTTCTACTTTGTCATACTGCATACTACTATTGCATACTGCCCTTTTTAATCAGTAAACTGTAGTTCTGCTCCAGTTTTCTTTTTAAGGAAGACTATGAATTAGATGGAGAAATTCAATGCCATTTACTATTTAGAAGTTAAGGTTCTTGCTCTGTGCCAGCAGTGGTACACATCACACTGATGACATGTTTATATCAATGAAGTCACAAGTTGAGCTAACAACTTATTGTTTAAGAAGACTTTAAATGATTCCTAAAAGATTTCAAACATGTTACGAGTGTTTAGTTGTTATTCTACATGCTCTCACTCAATAAGTGCTGGTTATGTTGTTCTTTAGCCAAGACCTACTTTTGCTTACTTAGTCTGTACTTGTACTTTAGTGCATACAAAAAGTAGCCACTTACTTTGGTTCTTTTCTAGGAATGTGAAGATTATCTGCTTTGTACTGATTCACAGACATGCATGTGCTCAATTGACTGGACTGGTAAAGCACTAATGACTGTGTACAATGTGGAGGTACAAAGTAATGAAAGTTTGTTACCACCCAAAGCAGAACAAGTGCATGTACATGGGTAGGAAACTTTTTTAGGGATTTTCGTACGAGAAAGCTTTATTAAGATCACTTGTAATAGTTACTGTACCTATGGAGCTATTTTTATGAGATTAAAGAAATTGAGTACAGTGATCCCTCGCTATAACGCGGTTCACCTTTCATGGTCTCGCTGCCTCACGGACTTTTTTGTGCAGTTCATTTTTCACAGAGCATTGTGTTCTTTGTCCTGATTGGCTAAAAAGTCTGTGCTCAACAGGCTAATGTAGGGGTCACCTCGAGTGAAGAAACAATATTTACTGCCTCTAAGCAGGCCTCAGACAGGCCTGACGAGAGGACAGGAACTCTGTCACAAACTGAACTCTATTTAGGCCATGACAGGTCATTCTGACCGTGGAAGAGAACCCCTCAGTTCTCTTAATCAGATAATGGACAGAACAATCTCTTCTGTTCGTAATTCATTTGTTGTTTAACTAAGAATGATTATGCATTTGTTAAATCATGATAATGACTGTCACAGGAAAAGTGGAACCACTTCTTTTCTTTTATCGTGCCTTAAAGATTAATAATGGTATAAAAGAATCACAGAAAATCTGATTACAATGTTTTCATTGTGTTTTTATGTAAATCACTGTTTTTATTTTACTGTGAACACAGTAATATAA